GATTTCACCTCCCGTTTTTGGGTGCATTCAGGAGAGGGGTGGGAGAGCGAAACTGAAATTGTCCCAAAAAAAAAAAAAAAAGGGGCTTTTCAGTGAGGTGCTTTTTAGTAATTTGTTTTTTTGGGTTTTTTTTTAAGGCCTTTTAAGGCAAATCTGATTATTTTGGTTTGGGGTTTTTTGGTTTTTTGTTTTTTTGTTTTTTTTTTTTTTAAGCCAAATCTGGTTCTTTTGGGATTGTTTTTCAAGCTAAATCTGATTATTTGGGGATTTTTTTAAGCCAAGTCTGATTCTTTTGAGTTTTTTTAAAAGCCAAATCTGGTTATTTTGGGATTTTTTTAAACCAAATCTGGTTCTTTTGGAGTTTTTTTAAACCAAATCTGGTTCTTTTGGGGTTTTTTTAAACCAAATCTTTTTCTTTTTGGTTTTTACCTCCCGATGTGAGCGGAGCCATCGGCTCTCCCCCAACACAACCCGAGGGGATTTTTCCTCATTATTTCCTTTTTTTTAAAATAACGATTAAATATTTTATTCCAATTTATTACCAATAAATAGAAATTATTGATATAACATTTAATAACATATTTTAAGGGTTTTTTTGGGTTTTTTTTTAATTTTTACCTCAGTGCCAATTATAATTATAAATATATATTATATATATAATAAATAAATAAATAATTTAGAGATAAATAAAGGAATTAAAGGGTCCTAAACCTGGGAAAGGGAGGAAAAAAAAAAGGATTTGATTTTGTAGAATAAAATTAAGGAGTTGGAAAGGAGCTGAAATCCCACCCAGCCTCTGCTGGGACAATTCCAGGGATTCCCAGGCAGGAATTCCTTCCCAAAATTCCCCCAATCCCATTCCTTGTGTCCTTGGGAAAGGAAAAAAAAAGGATTTTTGGGTTTTTTTTCTATAAATCCACAGGATCTGGGGATGATTCCTCGTGTCCTGGCCAAGGAAAATTCCAGGGGTTTCTCCGAGCAAATAAAGACCCTGCAGAGGGTACAAAATTCCCTCCAAAAAGCTGAAATTTGGGGGAAAACCGAGCATTTCACGTGGTGCTGGAGGACACCGAGCTCCACAGGGATATCCCAGGGAATTCCCACTCCGGAACAGCCCCAGGAACGCCGGGCTGGCTGGGTTTTCCCAACAGGAGCAGAGAGAAAATCATCCTGATCCGGGTTTTTAGCTCAAATCCAGGGAATTGTGAGGGAAATCCCACAAATAAAAGGTGGGTGACATCCCAGAGCGGCTCATCCGCCTGCTGGGAGGCAAAAAAATGAAAATAGGGATGGGAAAAGCAGCCAGGTTTATTCATCCCTGTTTTCCCAACATTCCCATTCCCTGCGTTTCCTGTGGAAATTGGAACTTCCAGGGAAATTCTGGATCTGGCCTGGGAGCCAAAAAAATGAAAATAGGGATGGAAAAGCAGCCAGGTTTACTCATCCCTGTTTTCCCAACATTCCCATTCCCGGCGTTTCCTGTGGAAATTGGAATTCCCAGGGAAATTCTGGATCTGGCCTGGGAGCCAAAAAAATGAAAATAAGGATGGGAAAAGCAGCCAGGTTCACTCATCCCTGTTTCCCCAACATTCCCATTCCCGGCGTTTCCTGTGGAAATTGGAATTCCCAGGGAAATTCTGGATCTGTGCTCCTTCCCAGGGAAAGATTTTTATTTCCTTGTTTTTATCTCCCCAACATCAGAGTGGGAGGGAAATCCATAAAAACGGAGAAATCCAAGGAAAATAAAACCCCTGGAGGGGGTGATGCCCTTCCTGTCGTTTTCCACCTCCATGGTGCCATGGGGAGATTCCCTCTCATCCCATCTCAAACTGCCCGGAATTCCCTCTCATTCCAGAGGTCAAATTTCCCTGGATTCCCCCTCATCCCATCTCTCCTTCCAGAGGTCAAACTCCTCTGGATTCCCTCTCATTCCGGATTTCAAATTTCCCTGGATTCCCTCTCATTCCAGATGTCAAATTTCCTGGAATTCCCTCTCATCCCATCTCTCCTTCCAGATGTCAAACTTCTCTGGATTCCTGCTCATCCCATCTCAAACTTCCCTGGATTCCCTCTCATTCCAGAGGTCAAATTTCCTGGAATTCCCTCTCATTCTGGATCTCAAATTTCCCTGGATTCCCGCTCATTCCGGATCTCAAACTTCCCTGTATTCCCTCTTATTCCAGATGTCAAATTTCCCTGGATTCCCGCTCATCCCATCTCTCCTTCCAGAGGTCAAACTCCTCTGGATTCCCGCTCATCCCATCTCAAACTTCCCTGGATTCCCTCTCATTCCAGAGGTCAGATTTCCCTGGATTCCCTCTCATTATGGATGACAAACTTCCCTGGATTCCCTCTCATTCCAGAGGTCAAATTTCCTGGAATTCCCTCTCATTCTGGATCTCAAATTTCCCTGGATTCCCGCTCATTCCGGATCTCAAACTTCCCTGGATTCCCTCTCATTCCAGAGGTCAAATTTCCTGGAATTCCCTCTCATTCTAGATCTCAAATTTCCCTGGATTCCCGCTCATTCCGGATCTCAAACTTCCCTGTATTCCCTCTTATTCCAGATGTCAAATTTCCCTGGATTCCTTCTCATCCCATCTCTCATTTCTGATCTCAAACTGCCTGGAATTCCCTCTCATTCCAAATCTCAAATTTCCCTGGATTCCCTCTCATTCCGGATCTCAAATTTCCTGGATTCCCTCTTCTTCTAGATGTCAAATTTCCTGGGATTCCCCCTGATTCCGGATTTCAAATTTCCTGGAATTCCCTCTCATTCCACATCTCAAACTTCCTGGAATTCACTCACATTCCAGATGTCAAATTTCCCTCGATTTCCTCTCGTCCCATCTCTCATTCCAGATGTCAAATTCCCTGGGTTCACTCTCATCCCATCTCTCCTTCCACAGCTCAGATTTCCCTGGATTCCTTCTCATTCCAGCTGTTAAACTTCTCTACATTTCCTCCCATTCCAGATTTCAAACTTCTCTGGATTCCCTCTCATTCCATCTCTCATTCCAGATGACAAACCTCCTGGAATTCCCTCTCATTCCGGATTTCAAATTTCCCTGGATTCCCTCTCATTCCAGATGTCAAATTTCCTGGAATTCCCTCTCATCCCATCTCTCCTTCCAGATGTCAAACTTCTCTGGATTCCCGCTCATCCCATCTCAAACTGCCTGGAATTCCCTCTCATTCCAGAATTCCAGATGTCAAACTTCCCTGGATTCCCTCTCATTCCGGATCTCAAATTTCCTGGAATTCTCTCTCATTTCAGATGCCAAACTTCCCTGGATTCCCTCTCATTCCAGATGCCAAATTTCCCTGGATTCCCTCTCATTCCAGAGGTCAAACTTCTCTGGATTCCCTCTGATTCCAGATGTCAAATGTTCCTGGAATTCCCTCTCATTCCAGATCTCAATTTTCCTGGAATTCTCTCTCACTCCAGATGCCAAACTTCCCTGGATTCCCTCTCACTCCAGATGCCAAATTTCCCTGGATTACCTCTCATTCTCTAGATTTCCTCACAATCTGGATTTCAAACTTCCCTGGACTCCCGCTCATTCCGTCTCTCATTCCACATGTCAAACTTCCCTGGATTTCCTCTCCTTCCAGATGCCAAACTTCCCTGGATTCCCTCTCATTCTGGATCTCAAATTTCCTGGATTCCCTCTCATCCCATCTCTCATTCCAGATGTCAAACTTCCCTGGATTCCCTCTTCTTCCAGATGTGAAATTTCCTGGAATTCCCTCTCATTTCAGATGCCAAACTTCCCTGGATTCCCTCTCATTATCTGTAACGGGATCCATCCCAACAGTTATCCATCACGGATCCGCCCCATTAATTGTCCATCACGGGATGTATCCAATTAATTATCCATCACGGGATCCACTCATTATCCACCGCGGGATCCGCCCCATTAATTATCCATCACGGGATGTATCCAATTAATTATCCATCACACGATCCATCCCATTCTCCACCACAGGATCAACCCCATTATCTGTCACGGGATCCATCCCATAATTATCCATCAGGGGATCCATCCCATTACCCATCACGGGATCCACCCAATTAATGATCCATCATGTGATCCATCCCATTATCCACCTTGGGATCTATCCAATTAATAATCCATCATGGGATCCATACATTATCCATCATAAAATCTGCCCAATTACTTATCCACCATGGGATCCACCCAATTAATTATCCATCATGGGATCCACCCAATTAATTATCCACCATGGGATCCACCCAATCATCCATCAGAATCCATCCCATTATCCACCATGGGATCCACCCAATTAATTATCCATCACGGGATCCACCCAATTAACCATCCATCCCAGGATCCACCCAATTAACCATCCATTCCAGGATCCACCCAATTAACTATCCATCCCGGGATCCACCCAATTAATTATCCATCATGGGATCCATCCAATCATCCCTCAAGGAATCCATCTCATTATCCACCATGGGATCCATCCCATTATCCACCATGGGATCTATCCAATCATCCACCATGGGATCCATCCATTATCCATCAAAGAATCCATCCCATTATCCATCCCAGGATCCAGCATGGGATCCACCCAATTATTCATCACAGGCTCCATCACCGAACCCACCCAATTAACTATCCATCCCAGGATCCACCCAATTAACTATCCATCCCAGGATCCACCCAATTAACTATCCATCCCAGGATCCACCCAATTAACTATCCATCCCAGGATCCACCCAATTAACTATCCATCCCAGGATCCACCCAATTAACTATCCATCCCAGGATCCACCCAATTAACTATCCATCACCGAACCCACCCAATTAATTATCCATCACGGGATCCACCCATTAATCATTCATCGTAAGATCCATCCCACTAATTACCCACCACGGGACCCACCCGTTATCCCCCAGGATCCTCCCAGCCCCCGTTCAGCGGCGCCTCCGGAATTTTCCGCGCCCTCCCCGATCTCCCCCATCCCGCCTGGCCTTTCCCACCCGCCCGGAGAGGGACCATCTCCGCGACCTCAGCTTCGTTACTGACTGAGTCCGGGAGATAACGAGGGGCCGCAATTAATGGAATTAATGATCCATGAATTACCTCTGGACGCGGTAGACGCGCGTCCAGGGCGGCACCAGGGCCAGGATGCGGGCCACCAGGTCCACCAGCGTGCTGGGGGGGTAGCTGCGGTACCGCCCCGTCTTCCAGAGCTCGTAGAGCCCCGTGCCGCGGATCACCAGCGTGGGGTACAGCTTCAGCCCGTCGGGGCGGAACGCGGGGTTCTCAAAAAACTCCTGGGGGGAAAACAGAACAAAAAGAGAGTCAGACGAAAAAGAGATAAAAAAGGTAAAGGGAGTGATCCTTGGGGGTGGGAGCTTTGGTTGGATTCGGCTCCGGAGGGGTTTTGTGGTTGTAAATACGGGGATTACTGAGAATTCCTGGTGTAGGGTGAGCTCTGAGTGTTTATGGCATCTTCAGAAATGAAAACATGGAATAACAAAGATCCACACAACAGCAGAACGAGTGAAATCCTCGTTTTCCTTGTGTTTCCAGTGTGAATTCCATGGATATTGCACCACTTATTGTCCCAGATTCCGGCACTAGAACAATAGGGATGAGCTCCTCGGCACGCCGCGTGTGTTCCGAGATTGATCACCGTGTCTGGGACACAGCAACGGAGACAAACAGATTTATTCTGGTTTTCTGTGTCGTTCTCCACTCCGAGCCAGCCCAGATGAAGTGTGGCTCTGGTTTCCCTGCCGGAATCCCACACGGAGCACACCCAGGATGGGTTTCTCCCAGATTAAATTCAGGGATTGATGATTAAAATTAAATCATTCCAACAAAGGAAAGTGGAATCAGGAGCCAGGCAGGGATTAAATTGATTTAAAGGAAAGTGGAATCAGGAGCCAGGCAAGATTTAAATTGATTTAAAGGAAAGTGGAATCAGGAGCCAGGCAATGATAATAAATTGATTTAAAGGGATCAGGCGCCAGGCAGGGCACCTGAACCAAGCAAGGATTAAAGTGATTTAAAGGAAAAGTGGAATCAGGAGCCAGGCAATGATTGAATTGACTTAAAGGAAAAGTGGAATCAGGAGCCAGGCAAGGATTAAATTGATTTAAAGGAAAGTGAAATCAGGAGCCAGGCAATGATTGAATTGACGTAAAGGAAAAGTGGAATCAGAAGATAGGCAAGGATTAAATTGATTTAAAGGAATCAGGAGCCAGGCAAGGATTAAATTGATTTAAATGAAAGTGGAATCAGAAGATAGGCAATGATTAAATTGATTTAAAGGAATCAGGAGCCAGGCAAGGATTAAAGTGATTTAAATGAACCTGGAATCAGGAGCCAGGCAAGATTTAAATTGATTTAAAGCAAAAATGGAATCAGGAGCCAGGCAGGGCACCCTGAACCAAGTAAGGATTAAAGTGATTTTTTTTTAAAGGAAAAAGTGAAATCCGGAGCCAGGCAATGATTAAAGTGATTTAAAGGAAAAGTGGAATCAGGAGCCAGGCAGGGCACCCTGAACCAAGTAAGGATTAAAGTGATTTTTTTTTAAAGGAAAAAGTGAAATCCGGAGCCAGGCAATGATTAAAGTGATTTAAAGGAAAAGTGGAATCAGGAGCCAGGCAAGGATTAAAGTGATTTAAATGAACCTGGAATCAGGAGCCAGGCAAGATTTAAATTGATTTAAAGCAAAAATGGAATCAGGAGCCAGGCAGGGCACCCTGAACCAAGTAAGGATTAAAGTGATTTTTTTTTAAAGGAAAAAGTGAAATCAGGAGCCAGGCAAGGATTAAACTGATTTAAATGAAACTGGAATCAGGAGCCAGGCAAGGATTAAACTGATTTAAAGGACAAGTGGAATCAGGAGTTAGGCAATGATTAAATTGATTGATTTAAATGAAAGTGGAATCAGGAGCCAGGCAAGATTTAAATTGATTTAAAGCAAAAATGGAATCAGGAGCCAGGCAGGGCACCCTGAACCAAGTAAGGATTAAAGTGATTTAAAGGAAAAGTGAAATCAGGAGCCAGGCAGGGCCCCCTGAACCAAGTAAGGATTAAAGTGATTTAAAGGAAAAGTGAAATCAGGAGCCAGGCAGGGCCCCCTGAACCAAGTAAGGATTAAAGTGATTTAAAGGAAAAGTGAAATCAGGAGCCAGGCAGGGCCCCCTGAACCAAGTAAGGATTAAAGTGATTTAAAGGAAAAGTGAAATCAGGAGCCAGGCAGGGCCCCCTGAACCAAGTAAGGATTAAAGTGATTTAAAGGAAAAGTGAAATCAGGAGCCAGGCAAGGATTAAAGTGATTTAAAGGAAAAGTGAAATCAGGAGCCAGGCAAGGATTAAATTGATTTAAATTAAAGTGAAATCAGGAGCCAGGCAGGGCTGAATTCCACTGTCTGTGGGCGGCTGCTGGAAAACGAGGAGCAGGCATGAGTGGATGAGCGCGGGCTGAGTGTCCTGGCACCGAGGAGTTCAGGTGAGGACGGGGTCAATGAGCCTCTCCAGGCAGAGCCTGGGTGAATATTCCCCATCATCCCAAAGCAGGAATGATTCACCAACATCCCCATTTTCCCAGCTCAGCCCACCCCGAATCCCGTCCCTCCCCTCCTCTGCATCTCCGACGTCCCAGCCGATAATTCCGCTCCCAGGGGCCTTTAAAGAGCCGCAGATTTCCCGTTAATTCCTCAGAACTCCCCGAGCTGATTCCCCGAGTAATTCATTCCAAAGGAGATAAGGGAGCGCCTTTTCCCTGTAAATCCCGGTATTTAAAGGCTTCACCTTTCCCCATCCACAAACAGCTTTTGATGAAGTTTCTCCTCAAACAAAGGAAGTAGAAAATGCCAACACGTGCCGAGCTTTAGGAGGAATTGTAGCCTTCTCTTGGCTTTTTATGTTGGTTTTTTTTTTTTAATTAGACACCTTAAAAGGTGTCTCGGGCTGATAAAAACCCTCCGGGGCCGTTTCCTGCCGAGACAAATTGAATCCTGAAGATATTTGTTCCAGAGGCCACCATCCATGGCAGCTCTGGAGGTTTTCCATCAGCTCCAGGCTGAGCCAGAGGTTCAAGACGACGCAGCGAGGGCAGATCCCAAATTTCTGAATCCCACAGAACATTCCCAATGGAAGCACCACCCATTTCAAACCAATCCTCCTCGGAGTTTTGTCCCCTCGAGGCAATTTAAGGGTTTTAGATAATTAAGATTTACTGAAGGTAAATGTAAATTTGGGGGTGCGGCAAATGGGCAGGAAGTGAGAGATTATTGCAGCGATTTAATGAAAGTAAAAATTTCAATTTAAATTTAATTAAAGTAAAAAAAGGTCAGCTCAGATCAGCTGAAACTCAAAATCTGGAGGTTCATACAGACTCCTCTGCACCTTAAAATATAATTTCCCTGTAACATTCCTCAACTTATGGGATATTAAGAGAAAACCTGAGGATTTTTTCCCAGTAAATACTAGCAGTGGCATTTTTTTTTCCAACTCCCACCAAAAGCTTTCAGTGACATTGCAATTATTGTCCAGGAAAATTGGGATTACAGGAAACCAAAGGTCAGCCTCTGTTAAATCAGAATATAATCCCAGAATTGTGGAACAGTTTGATTTGGGAAAAATCCTCTCATTCCAAGGAGGTGACACCCTGAATTTCAATATTTTCCCATTCCTGTGCTCTTGCAAAAATCTTTTAAGTCTTGAAGTCGGAAAATTCCTGACCCACGGGAAAGGTCCGAGGATTTGGGACCCCCACGGCCCCAAATTCAGCATCACCCTAAAGTCAAAGATTCCACCTGGAGGTTTTAATCGGATTTTCCTGAGCACGCTGGGCCATGCAATGAATGAGAAAAAACCTGCTTAAAAAACAAAACAAAAAAAAACCCCCAAAAAAACCAAAAAAAACCCCCAAAAAAACCAAAAAAAACCCCCAAAAAAACCAAAAAAAACCCCCAAAAAAACCAAAAAAAACCCCCAAAAAAACCAAAAAAAACCCCCAAAAAAACCAAAAAAAACCCCCAAAAAAACCAAAAAAAAAAAAAAAACCAAAAAAAACCCCCAAAAAGCTGCAGCTCTCCAAAAGGAGAGAAGCAGGGTGGTTTCATGGGATTCCACCTGAACATTTCACAGCCCCAAGACTCACTGGCCACCTTTCATCTCCTCGCTCTCCCGGTGCCCAACTGCTGCAGGAGATACCGGCTGGGGGATAAAAGCAGCAATTTCTGACAGCAATTCACTAAAACGCCGCGATTTATTCAGAGGAAAGGTCACCAAAAACCTATTTTTGAATGACCAGAGCCCTGTGCCCCCCAACCCGCTCCTTGAATCGGCTCCTGCGCCTGAAAGGAGATGATTAAATTCAAATTGTGAGTAGGACGAGCATTATCTGAGCTCCCCACACTCCATCCCTTATCTCCATCAGCTGGATTATTTATAGCGCTTGAAAGCTCCTGCCTTGAGTGACACTCGCGGCTCGGCGGGGAAGGAACAATCACTTAGCGCTTTAATTACGGCCATTAACAGCAGCTCGTGCCTCCCATTTTCCCGGCCCCATTTGCATCTCGCCGTCAATGCCGGGCTAATTAAAAAGCCTAACGATAGGATCTGCATTCACGGGCGCAGACAATGGCCCAGTGACCGAGAAATGCGGATTCCGGGGTGCCTCTGGAGCAGCCCGGGGACACCCCGGGCTGGAAAGGGGGGTCTGGAAGTCCCCGGGATCGCTCCAGGATGCGACCTCGGGTCGGTGTTTGCAGAAGAGAAGAGCAGAGGATTTGTCTGGGGGGTTCGGGGGGAGGTGGGAGGTTGGGTTCGGACCGTTTTGTCTTGATTTGCGTCCTCAAAGAGCAACGCTTCCCGTCCATTAAAATATTTCTGCTGAATTCCCTCCAGGAGCGCGACACAAAAGCCTCGAGATACACACGGGGAGGTGCAGGCTGGATACCGGGAATAATTCCTGCTTGGAAAGGGATTTCCAGCCTCGGATAGTGGTGGAGGCCCCATCCCTGGAGGGATTTCACATCCAGGTGGATCTGGGGGGACATGGATCCATGGTGGAGTTCCTATCCCTGGAGGGATTTAAATCCATGTGGATTTGGGGGCTCCTGGATCCAGGATTTAAATCCATGTGGATTTGGGGGGACACAGGTCTGTGTTGGAGTCCCCATCCCTGGAGGGATTTCACATCCATGTGGATTTGGGGGAAAGTGGATCTGTGGTGGAGTCCCCATCCCTGGAAGTGTTTAAATCCATGTGGATCTGGGGGCTCCTGGATCCAGGATTTAAATCCATATGGATT